TGTTTTCAACAACATCAAAGAACAAAGTTTCCCAATCTAAGGAAAGACACACCTATCAAGATATAAAGGCACACACAAGACACCAGGTAGACAGGACCAAAAAGGGACTTCCCGCATTATGTAACAGTCAAACACTCAATGTACAGAACAACAACACTGAAAGATCAACTCATAGAAAGGCAGGCCCAGCTGAATAACAAGCTATTGTTTTTAATGGAGACTATGAAATCAAGAAGGGCTTGGACCCATGTCCTATGAGTCAAGAAAGAACAGAGGTGGCAACCCAACTACAATAGCCAGCAAAAATATCAGCTGTAATCAAAGGAGAAAGAAAACCTTTCCAAGATTAAAACACATTTAAGGAATTTGTGTCCACTAAACCAGTTCTACAGAGAATACTAGAAGGAATGCTTTGGTTTGAGGAGACTATTAAACACACCTAAGAGGCACAAGAAATAAACAATTCCAAAACAGTTAACCAAGAGTTTTAAGACAACACCACAACAACAAAATAACAGGAATTAATAAAACATTGGCCAATAATAATTCTCAATATTAATGGTTTCAATTTCCCAATAAAGACACATATCAGCTGATTTGATTAGAAAACAGAATCTAGTCGGGTGTGAAGGCACACACTTGTGCCTTTAATCCCAGCACTCAGGAAACAGGCCGGTGGATCTCTTATGAGTTCCGGGCCAGCCTGGTTTACACAGTGAGTTCCAGGCAGCTGGGGCTGCAGGGAGACCCTGTCTCAAAAAGACCAAAAAAAAAAGACAAAAGAGAAAAAGAAAACAGGATCCAGATCCATCTTTTTACTGCCCCCAAGAAATGTACCCCAACATCAACAATCAACACCACCTTAAAGTAAAAGGATAGAAAAAAGTATTCCAAGCAAATAAATCTAAGAAAGAAACAAGCAGGTTTATACCCATAAAGGAAAAATTCACCAAAAGGATATTACAATCCCAAACATATATACACTAAACACAAGGGTACCAATTTCATGAAAGAAACACTGTCAGATTTAAAAACATACACTGACTCCAAAAAAGTGATAGTGGGTGACTTCAACACCCCACTATCACCAGTAGACATGTCATTCAGACAAAAACTAAATAGAGAAACCCTGAATTTAAATGACATTATAAATCAAATGAACTTAACAGACATTTACAGATTACGCCCAAATACCAAAAACATTTTCTTCTCAGCAACACATAGAACTTTCTCCAAAACTGACCAAAGCAAGTATAAGCAAAAGTAGGAAAACTGAGCAACATCCTGTGACGACAGCAGACATGGGAAAAGCACATGAACTTGAGGAGATTAAACACATTACTGAGTAAAAACTGGGTCAAGAGAGAAATCAAAGACATTAAAAAAATTGTAGAACTGAATGAAAATGAAAACATAGCAAAATCTATGAGAAACAATTAAGACAGTCCTAAAGAGAAAAATCTGTATCACCAAGTACCTACATCAAAAATATGGAGATCTTATATTCTTAACTGAATGATGTACCTGAAGGTCTTAGAAAAAACAAGAACGAACAAAAAGAATAGATGGGAAGAGATAATCTAATAACAATACTCCTCAAATTATTCTGTAAAATAGAAAAGAAACAGCATCTTTTTATTAAACCAGTAGTACCCTAATACCAAAACCAAAGACCCAACAAAAAATGAAAATAATAGGCCAATCTCTCTGATGAAAATAAACACAAAAATTCTCAATAAAATGCTTGCACATTAAAAAAAAAAAGATTATCAACCATGACCAGTTGGCTTCATCCCAGAGATGCAGGGATGGTTCTGCATATATGGATCAATAAATGTAATCAACCATATAAACAGACTCAAAGACAGAAACAACATGATTATCCCATTAGACGCAGAAAAGGCCTTTGATAAATTCAACATCCATTCATAACAAAATTGATGGAGAATCCAGAAATACGGAGGACATGTAACAACATAATAAGGTAAGTACAGAACAAGCACACAACCAGCATCATGCTAAATGGAGAAAATCTCAAATCATTTCCACTAAAATCAGGAACGAGAAAAGGATGACTACTTTCCATTCCTGTTCAATACAGTGCTTGAAATCTTAGCTAGAACAGTAAGACAATAGCTAAGAAATGGAAACAACCTAAATGTCTCTCAACTGACAAATGGTTAATGAAAATGTGGTCCATCTACTCAATGGAGTTCTACTCAGCAGTAAGAAAAGATGAAATTATGAAATTTGCAGGTAAATGGATGGAGCTAGAGAGTGTTATACTAAGTGAAGAAACACAAACACAGAAAAAGCAAGAGACGTACATTCTCCCTCATTTGTGGATTGTAACACCAATCCCTTATGAGTACATAAAATCTGACGTAACACTAGGAGCCAGGTAAAGGACAAGAAACAACCTGGAAGGGGGAGAGCAGGGAACAGATGTGACCTGAGGGAGGTGGAAAAAGTGGGAGTAATGGGCATGTAGGAGATGAGGGAGGGACATGCAGGGACCATGGTGTGGGGGAGGGAGGGAAGTCGGGTAAGGAAAGGTGGCAGGAGTCAGGAGGTATTGGGGAAAGGGTGGGGATAATGGGGGCACTGTGACTAGGGAGGAAGGAGGGAAGCCTGATGGGAGAAAAAAGAGTGGAGATGAGTGAATCTCAGCTAGAGGGAAAAGTGACGTCCTAGACACCTTATGAGAAATGCACACAGATTGTCTGAACATTAATGCATATGTATACCTGGGAGCTGCTTGGCAGGGGACGCAGTACCAGGTAGAAGGGACCTCCCTTAGAGTGACAAGCATGCTGTACAGCACTCATCAAAGAAGCTTCTTTTTGAAACGGAGGCTACTGCAGAGTTGCACATCTGGTCAGGCACAGAGAACGTATGCCTGGGAGATGCCCAGTACTAGGTGGCACATCTGCAGTCAAATCTCTACAACTAAGGCTCATGGAACATAGCGGAATAAGGGGTAGAGAGAGGGCTAATGCACCCCTCAACTCTCACCAGTGAGGCTTCCATGTACATCAGACTGCAATGCACACAGAAGGCCAAAACTGGCCAAATTTTGGAGAATAAGAGACTGCAGAGTGCAGGATGGGACTCCTATACGGAACCTCACCCACCCATGGCTCAGGGACCATTGCAGAGGAGGAGGTGGAAAGATTGTAAGAGTCAGGGCTGGCTCGTGAACACAGGGAGGTGGAGGCCCCAGGCCACTGGAGGCTTGCTCATGGGAGCCTGTGGCAGCGGTGGTGTGGAGCATGGACCCATGGCAGCTCAATTAAACAAGGGCCCAAAGGGGAGGTGAGAAATAGGTGGCAGGTCAGCACTAGATGGAGAACTATTTGAGACTGATTGCTGCTGGGTAAAGGCAAGTATGATTTACACACCAACCCCTGGATGGGCTGACTAGACTCCAGTGGATGCATTTACACTGAGGACATTTGAGTACAAACACCTGAATGAGTAGGACTCAACGTGTATGGCAGAGTGCAAGGGGTTTGGTGGAGGAATGAGGGATGCATGGCTGGGGGAGGGGGTCTAGATTTGAGTGGGAAATGTTGTATGAAATTTAAAAAGCTCAATTAAAAAAAAAAATCAGTAGCCTTCCTATTCACCATCAACAAACATACCAAGAAAGAAACCAGGGAAACAATCCTATTCATGAAAGCCTCAAAATCCATAAAATATCTTGGAATAAATCTAACCAAGGAAGTGAAAGACTTGAATAATAAAAACTTTAAGACACTGAAGAAAGGAATCAAAGAAGGTATGAGAAGATACTTATGTATTGGTATGATTAATATTGTGAAAATGGCCATCCTACTAAAAGCAATTTACAGATTCAACATAATCCCCATTAAAATTCCAACATTTCATAGAAATGGAAAACAAAATCTCAAATTTCATATGGAAACACAAAACACTGAGAATAGCCCAAGCAATCTTGAACAACAGAAGAAGAGCTAGAAACATCACCATCCCTGATTTCATTATACTACAGAGCTATAGTAATAACAGCATGGTACTGGCATTAAAGCAGACACAATGATCACTGGAATCGAACTGAGATTTCATTTCACATACTTACATCCACCTGAATTTTTTTGTTCGTTAATTTGTTTTTGTTTTTGAGACAGGGTCTCACTGTAGTCCCAGCTGGCCTAGAACTCACTATATAGAACAGGCTGGCCTCAATCTCAGAGAACCACCTACATCTGCCTCCTGAGTGTTGGAATTAAAGGTGCACACCACCATACTGGTCAGCCACCTGATTTTTGACAAAGGAGGAAAAAAACAGCATGGCCAACAAATGGTGCTGGTCAAACCAGACAGCGACATGTAAAAGAATGAAACTAGATCCTCATCACTCATCATGCACAAAATTCAACTCCAAAATCAGCGTAAGAGCCAAGACCCTGAATCTGATAGAGGAGAAAAAAAGGGCACACTCTAGAACTTACAGGCTCAGGAAAGTACTTTCTGAATACAAGCCCAACAGTGCAGGCATGAAGACCAGTAACTGACAAATGGGACCTCATGAAACTACAAAGCTTCTGTACAGCAGAGACCATATGGAATATATTGCTTCTGGGAAGACAGACCTTCCACATCTCCCATATTAAAGATAGTAAAAATATATTCCATTTTCTTTATCACTGTCTTACCCTGTTTCACATCAAGGAACTGTTAATATGGTTATTCAGCTTAAAAGAAGTAAAACCATAAATCTGATAACAAATTTCTAGACACATTTTAACTGAACAATAATGCCTCATATTATATTTCATTCAGTACTCCAAAATTATCTGTGCTTTTTGGGGGATGGTGGGGGGAGGTGAGAGTTGGTAAAGGAACCCAGGGCCTTGCACATGGTAGGCAAGTACTTTAACACTAAGCTACGTCCCCAGCCCTCAAAATTATTTCTGAATTACATCAAATAGAATTTTGTGTTCTTGTATAACAAGAAAGAATATGTTTTTCCTTACCAATTCATACTCATCAAACAGCTGTATGAGGGACGGTGGTATGAACATATGAAAACCCTGTAGAAAAGCATTGATCTGAGGCTGAATGGCTCTCGTCATTCGAAGTTCAGTAACAAGCTGGACATACTCCGCCTATTAAAAAGAAGTTTTTATGATGATTACTTTTAAATATCGCACAGCTACGCCAATGTTAATACAATCACTTCTCATTTAAGAGGTGATGGTTCAGAATGAATTTGGCACAAATATTCACATTTCAGCAAACCAGTTAACTCTCATTCACTAAAATGTTCCGACTAAAATCTTCACAATTACACCCATGACCTCTTATACATTATTGGTGGCATTGGATTTGCCTTTAAAAAAAAAAATACTCTTGGGGCTAGAGAGATGGCTCAGTAATTAAGAGCACAGTGGCTGCTCTTACAGAGGACCCAAGTTTGATTCCCAGAACCCACATGGCAGCTAAAGTCATTCATAACTACAGGTTCAGGGGATCGGGCACCCTCTTCTGACCTCTGCGGGCACTGCGTGACATGGGTACACTTCATACATGCAGGCAATACACTCATACACACTCATACACACACACACACACATACACACACACACACACATACACACACACACACACACACACACAGAGTAAAAGTAATAAGTATTTTAAAAAATACTCTCCATCTGACTTTGTCTTACTTCACTCTAACACACAAACATTCTCTCTCAACTGGACTACTGCAACACCTAATCCATTTCCATTTTACCCCTGGATTGCTGCTTCTCCATGGATTTAAAATACATAGATTACACACATTAAGATCACACAGTCCTCCTTAAAACCCTACAACAACTTCCTGTGAGTTGAGATCCCCATGGGCTTCCTGGTCTGAAAGGCCCTGGATAATCTGTTCTCTACTTATTGCTAACAGCATAGCCTTCCATTCTTCCCCTAGCTTGCCCATTCAATTCTTCTATGGCTGTTCCCCAAACATAAGCCTGTTCAGGCCACAATGTCTTTATACTTACAGGCCTTTCTGAATAAAATATCTCATTGGAATGTAATTTGGCAAAAGGGTTTTTTGGGTTTTTGTTTTTTATCAGCAAAGTATCTCCAGCACCAATAAGTAGCTCCTACTTTGCTAGTGTTCAGTATGTGATACAGTGAAGGCATGCATTCATCATCTACTTAGTGTATACTTGGAACTTAGCTAATTTTTCCATAGCCAGTTCAGTTCTAAGTTAAAGTAAGTTATTCTCACAAACTTTCATTTTAATCTATTTTATTTTTTATTTTTACTTTATTTTCTTCATTTTTTCTTCTTTTGAGATAGGGTCTCACTAAGTAGCCCAGTATTACCTTAAACTTGCAATTCTCCTGCCTCGGTTTCCTGAACATTAGAATTACAAACATTTTATTTTAAGCCACATTTTCACCATAGAAAATAGAATCACTTAAAATTCAGCTGGTAATAAAAAAAGGTATTTTGCCACAGACCAAAATGAATTATCATGTGTATCATTTATACATTTTCTATAAATGCTTCTAAGTCAGACTTTGTAAGTTTACAAAAATATACTGTGTGTGATCTATACAGTTTCCACAACCAGGAAGGATTACTCTACATACAAATGGAGAAAGCCTTCTCTAGTCTCCTTCCTTTATGTTTTGGCACTAATCTGGTGGGCGTGTGCTGCTTTTGTTTTTGTTTTTGTTTTTAAGGCACACTGAGCTAGCAAGTTGTATATGACTATGAATTCCTCATGGCTCTTCACTACAGAAGTGTTACAGTAGATTCCTCAAGATTCTCCCCAAACTCTATTTGGCAAATTATGCGATCTGAAACAAGAAAAGCTGCCGCCTCTGGTTTCCAACCCACTGCCATTTCTGAATCTACTTCTTACCACTCAAAGGGTTTTTTCTACAGCAGGAATTAATCAGTTATTACCAGTTTTATCTAGGCAATTATTTTAAAGATTAAAATGTGTACCAAATAGCCAAACACAACATATATTAAATTTCCAAAATTTAATTCAAGAAATTATGTGTCCATGTATTTATAAGACATCTGCAAGTGATCACAGTAGTAAACTGTCACTAGCACTCCATTGTCTTTTTAGTTTATGTCTGTTCTCACTAAAACTGTTCACTGAATGTATTAAAATTTTTCTGCCCCATTCATTATTTATACCTTTATATGCTTAAGGTGCTATTTGAGACCCTATTTTCCCTAAACAATAATTATTTTCTCCTGAGAGGTTTTGATTTTACAATCTTATTCAATAACTATTATTCAATAACTACTGTTCAAGACCTTATCAAATTATGAAGCATGGGGACCAGAGAGATGGCTCAATGGATAAGCATGCTTGCTGTATAAGCATGAGGTGCTGAGTTCAGATCCTAGCACACAGGCAAAACACTGGGCATGGCCGCACACATATCTGTAACCCCCAGTCCTATGGAGGATTGAGACAAGATCACTGGGGCTTGCTGCACCACCAACCTAACTGGTTCAGGGAGAGAACCTGTCTTATGGGATTAAGGTAGAGCGACAGAGAAGGACACATAGTATCATCCTCTGGCCTCTGGGAACCACCTCAACATATGCATATACCAACTTAAATACATTTACCAACTTTTAAAAAATACACAATATGGGGCTGGAGAGATGGCTCAACAGTTAAGAGCACTGACTGCTCTTGCAGAAGACCCAGGTTCGATTTCCAGCACCCACATGGCAGCTACAGACCATCCTTAACTCCAGTTCCAGGGGAATCCGAAGCCCTCTTCTGACCTCCATGGCATTGCACAACACAGGTGCACTCACATACATGTAGGCAATACACTCATACACATAAAATAAAAACATAATAAATAAAATATTTCTTAAAAATACACATTTTTTTTCAATATGAGGCATGGAAATATTTTTAGTTGCTCAAGTGAACTCTACCTGCTTTAATTATATTTCGTATCTATCAACATAGTATACATCCTATTATTTCCTCATACATTTTATTTTTAATTAATTTTTATAAGTATACTATTCTTTCCTCACATTTATCTTCTATGGCATTCTAATATTATTTTCCACATTTCAGAAAACGAGGCTATAACTACCAGATGCTGATTTGTGAAAATCAGCTCCTTCATATCTCAATTTCCACACTAAGTTAACTTATATGCTAACAAATCTTGGTATAAATTTTTTTAAGGGAGAGATGGTTCAGTAGTTAAGAACGCTGGTTGTTCTTGCAGAAGACCCAGGTTCAAATCCCAGCACCCACACGGCATCTAACGGCTGTCCGTAATTCCAGTTCCAGGGAATCCGACAGCCTCTTCTGTCCTCCACAGGCATTGCAGGACACGGGTGCACTTTACCTACATGCAGGCAATACACACATACACATTAAAAAAAATAAATAAATAATGAAAAAAGAAAATGAAAAGGCTCAATTTTTTATGAGAAATGTTTACATGAGAAAGTTTAAAATTTATTAACATATTAGCCAAGGGTGATATCACATACCTGTAAAACTAGCACTTGGGTGAGTTGGAGGCGGTATGACTATCACGGTTTGAGACCAGTTTAGGTCTCACAGTGAGTTCAAGGCTACCAAGATCTTATCTCAAAAAAAGAAAAAAAAGAAAAGAAAAGCCAGGCATGGTGGAGCACACCTTTAGTCCCAGCACTCAGGAGAGGCAGGCGGGTCTCTGTGAGTTCAAGGCCAGCCCGGTCTACATAGTGAGTTCCAGGACAGCTGGAGTTACAGGGAGACCTGTCTCAAAAAGACCCCCCCCCAAAAAAAACACAACAACCAAATTACTAACATATTTATGATTCATCTATGTTATGTTATTATCAATCATAATCATTACAAAATTCTATAATCAACTGAGCAACTGGTTAAATAAAAACATATATTACACTTAGAAAACCAGTTTCAAGAGCCTTACTAACCCCGTATTCCAGCCTGAGAATGAATGAATGTGACCCTTGCAGTCAACATCATTTATAATTATTTATCTATTGTTTTCCTCTGCTCTACATTTCAGTGAAAGACAGAAATGCAAAATAACTGATAAAATAAGTATTCATAAGTATTCGGGGCTAGAGAGATAGCTCAGCAGTTAAGAATACTTATTGCTCTTGCAAAGGACCCAGACTAGGTTCCTAGCAAACACATGGGCACTAACAAGTATTTGTAACTGCAGATCCAGGGGGATCCCATGCCCTATTCTGGCTTCCATGGGCATCAGGCATACACATGGTGCACTTACATATAAGCAGGCAAAACACACATACATATAAAATAAAAACAAATAAAATCTTAAAAAATAAGTATTAAAAAATCCTAAACCTTTTCATACAATTGTATGATACGTAGCAATGTGCATAACCCCTTCCTACTATTTTTTGTATGATTTTGTTTAGGTTTTTTATTTTTATTTTTTTCATATATTTTAATCATGTACCTGAAGGCTATTTAACAAGAAACAGAGTGCCAGAAAGGAGAAACCTCCCTTCCAGTTGTTGGTCAGGGGAGTCCACAAGGCTCCAAAAATGACAGAGGCTATTGCCGCAGCCCTTGATTACCTCCCAGAACTTGAAAGTAAGACCCTATTGCTGAAAACAGGACATACTTTGGACATAGGACTTGGAGCAATGGAGCTGGAAGCCTCTTCCCCGAAGACAAGTTCTCATAGTTGTGGAGGACACTATGCAAGCTTAATATCCACAACAATGACCAGCACAGCAAACTGTATTGATACAGTAGTGGCACTTTCATCTTGGGGGTAATCAACAGTGATCTAATTGAACTTAGAGCCCGCTCAACAAGAAGGAACTCGTATGTGGCCCTATAAACACAGCCAAATACACAGAGCTGGAGCAGTCATAGATCCTAGAAAAAAACCTACATCTGTCACATTCGTAGACAAACATAATTTCTGACTATATGCTAAATATGGGTTCTTATATTCACAGACAAGTATACCAGTCACCACTCATCAAATAAGCTTCTTTTGGAAGAGAATGAGTCTAGTACAAAGTTCCACAACTGGTCACACACAGAGAATACGTGTCTGTGAGATGCCCAACCTTAAGTGACACACCAACAATGAAACCCTACACCTAAGGCTCATGGAACACAGCGGAACAAGTGGTAGAAAGAACACTAATGCATCTTTCAACATTTACCAGGAAAGTTCCTCATGCAACAAAGGGCGATGAAAACAGAAGGCCACAAAAGACCAAAGTGTAAAGAACAGACGACTTCAGAGTGTGTGTCCCTGGACCAGACTCCTATATTAAACCTCATCTACTCAGGGCCCAGGGACCATTGCAGAAGAGAAGGCAGAAAGATCTGAAGAGCCGAGGTGGTGCACGACCATAAAACAGAATCTTACAGGCTCCTGAGAACTTGCTCATATGAACTTACAGCAATAGTGTCAGCATGCACAAGACCCATGCAAACTCAATCAGATAAAACCCAGCATAGAACTGCGGAAATGGGCAGCAGGCCCCAACCTTAGCTGAGGAATTATTGGCGGCTGATAACTGCTGGGTGAGGGAGAGCTGATCTTTAAAGGAGTGACTGACAGGCTGAACAGACTCCAGTGGATGAACCCACACCTAGACATCTGAGTACAAACTTGACTCAATAGGCCTTAACATCTTAGAATGAGTGAAATCCCGACGGCAGGCTATAGGGGTAGGAAGTCCATATAGGGGAGGTCTAATATGTATTGTCATATTAAGAATATCTGAAGGAGTGAAGAATTTGTCCACTGGATATAGTATTCTCATGTAACAATGAAGTATATGGGGGTTTTGCCGAAATGTAATCACTTGCTTAACCAGGAATTTATGACTTCATCACCCTTAACTGAGAGCAGGTCTTCAGTATAAAATAAAACAGTAAATGTTACGTTTATAGAATACTGAGGCTCAATGAGTTGTTAAAAATGTGACCATGTATTTTGGCCCCTTTAAAAATAACTATTTTACTAAATCTATGATTTACAAATTATGATTTTCAATAGTCAAATTTAAAACAAATGTCAAGATTTTATAATAATGTGTACCGATGGCACATAATAAATCAAAAACAAGTTAAAACTTAATAAACTTAAAAGGATAATTATAACCAAGAAGTGAGATTTACTGGAACCTGAGAGCAGTTACAAAGTTTAAACACCTGGATTTCTTCTCTTCTGCATTAAAAATCTTTAACCTGGGGCCGAGGAGATGCTTCCACGCTACATAAGCACGAGGACCTGAGTTCAGATCCCTGGAACCCAAGTAAAAGCCAGGCATGGAGTTGTGCATATGAAACACCAGCCTTGGACCAGGGGATAAGCACAGGTGGATCCAAGGGGCTTGTTGGTCAGCAAATACAGCAGAAAAGGTGAACTATGGGTTCAGCGAGAGAATTCATCTTAAGAAACAAAAAATAAGGTGGAGAAGACAATCTAACACCAACCTCTGGCCTCCACATGGGCCTGCATTGGAGACAACACATTGCACACACATGCGTGCATCATGTACATAAACTCAAATTTTAAAAACGCTTTAATATCTAACTTTAAAAATGTTTTTTTTATTTATGTGCATGAGTGTATTGCCTTTTGAAACATAAAATACTGATCTTCATTAAGCTTATATTTCCAATCAAATTTTTCAAAATGCAAATACCCAATTTACACAATCAATTGAATAGGGTCCTAGACTGCTTCATGAACAACCTTAACAGAGCTATCACAATACTGAAATGATCCTTTCTAATTCAAAGTTTGAAAGTTGACAGCTTTGTTAAATACTTTCATCTACTAGGAAAAAATAAAGTAAGTTTTTCTAGTAAATGCCAGAATAATTTAGAGAAACTGGCAGTCAGGGTCAAATTAGAAAAATGGGCTAAGGTAAAAATCTGGATACTCACTTTGTTACTTTGTGTCACAAGAATACTTCCACCCCCAGGTTTCAAAGGCACCTCTTCCATTGCTCCAAACACATCGGTCTCAACAGAAAAAGTCAGTTCCAGACCTAGATCACTAATATCATTATCTAAAATCCATTGCAAGTTTTTGGCATATTCTGGATCAATGGATGCTACATCTTGGTAATTTACAGGAATACCTAAAAATGCAAAAATAGAGGAGTTACAATGTACATGCTTTGGCCTTCCTTGTTTAATGGTAAAATACTGCCATCTACAGATACTTTGAAAAACTGCAAAATATAATCCAATGCCGCATGTTTTGAATGGATGCTAACTCCTAAATCTAGAGGTCTATTACGCTAACCAATGTTTCTTCTACATCTTTACATCTTTAAGTCTTTCTTGGACACAGTTACTTAAGAAGCTGTTATAAGCTCCAAAATTGCCAATTACCTTAAGTATACTCATACTAAAATGTATTCTAAACACACACTAAAATGGAAAAGGAAAAAAGTCTTTTAGACAAAGATGTCTTTTGTTTTTGTTTTTGTTTTTTTTTTAAAGTATGTCATCCTTCTCCTCCCCTGGTCCCCAAATATCTTCAGAACACAGATAGCCTCTAATCAGAATATTAATTATTTCAACCAAAATGAAAATGCTTATCTATTAGTTTTCTCTAAAAGCTGTAAGGAAAATATAAATGTCTACAGAAGCAATAAGAAACTCATACCAAGAATGTGCTTGTAGAATGATCGTGTAAAGTAAATATTGACCAACTGCCTGTGGTTCAAAGCTAATCCCAAAATCTGTCCAGCAAACCGGAAATAGTTCAGGTGATCAGGATTCACATAGGAGTTGCTATTAGGCTGAAAAGTTGTTCCTATTGAAATGAATATAAAATAATAAGAATATATATGCAGAAGAGAAATCATTTCAATGTACATAAATTCACATATAACTAAGCAAAGCTAAGGTAACCATGCAAACTTCTACAGGAATGTTCTTTGTAGAATAAAGAAACAGGCAGTAGAACTGGAAGTATAGAAAATAACCACTAATTCCCACATACTTATTAGGGAAATGTCTGGATAGAAAGTTACAAAATAGTTTTGATGATAGTCACTGGAAGAACATTAAAGACACTCTGGTAAACTAATAAGAGATTATACACAGTTCACACATGCACACACGCATGCAAACACATTTTCCTAGGCAGTGTAGCAATAACTATTAGGCTGTAAACTCAGGTAGACTTCATTCATTTATACATGCCAGTACCACAAGAACTCACTAGATTTTGCACAATAAGAAACAGAACACAATGGGAATAACTGTTCTTAAGTAATAGACCCAGTCACTAAATGTAATGCTTGTCAACAATCAGAATATAAGCTGTCTAAAACTCATCCAATTCTTTCACATGGCAAATAATCAAGCTGAAACCATTACTATTAAAATGAAAGTAAAAATAGCAAGGGTAATGGTTACTGACAACTGTCAAAATCCACATATTCATGATTCCATTTTTATGAAATATCTAGAATAAACAAATTTAGAACAGAGTTCAAATTAATTATTATATGAGGGGAGGCTGAATCAATGGTAAAGAGTTTATGTCTGGGCTAATACGAAAAGTCTAGAATTAAAACTTGGTGATGATCTTACAACACAGTAAATGTTCTTAATGCCAACAAATTGTATACTTTCAAATGGCTTCACTGGCGAATATTCTGTTATATAGTTTACCACAAAAAGCCTTCCAAAAAAACTCAACTTTAAGTCTCCCTCCCTACTTTTTCCATAATGACCATTAACTTGGGTTATAAATTCACTCATTCAGCCATTATTATATAATGCCCTCATGCTATATCTCCTCTTCTAGGCACCAAGACTAAAATAAAGAATCGTGAATAAATCTAATGAAACAGCATCAAAGAAAAAGTGGGCAAGCTGCCAGGCATGATGGCACACACCTTTAATTCCAGCATAGGGAGGCAGAAGCAATCGACTCTCTATGAAATGGAGACCAGCCTGCTGTACATAGTGAGTTCTAGGAGAGCTGGGGCTACAGAGAGGTTCTGTCTCAAATAATTAAGGTAGGCAAGTATTCAAAAATGAAATGTTTGGTCACTCTGGAATATTTATTTTGACAATAATTCACTTTGCACTTTCACAGATCTTTGATTTGTCCGTTTAACACTGGATTAAAACTGATATGACTTGTTTGCTTAGGTATAAAGGAACAAATTTGGAAGGTTATGGTTGAATGAATTAAACAAGCATGTGAAGCTTATCATTTACTCTTAGTACCTCTGAGAAAAATTCCCTATCACAAGGCAAGACTAGATGTCAACAACTAGAAGCAAAGCTTTGGAGATAAGACTTCAAAGACAGACATAACCATAATTCCAAAACTATTCTAAAAATAATCACAAATATTTTACCCATTCAGATAATTAGTGCTTAGGGTTACAGATGAACCAGCAAAGAACTTTGATGACTCCACGTTCTTTCCCTACCTCTGTATATAATTCCTTCACTATCTAATAACTTTTTGAGAAATCAGAGTTCTTGAAAAAAATAGATAAGGATAAATTAAAAGAAAATAAAAATAGCAAAAAGGCAAAAGACGTCAGGAAAAAAAGTTTTCACTTGAAAACTGCTTAAAACAGAATGTAAATTTTATGTTAAATTTTCAGTTTAAACACAGCTGTAACCCTGACAGCTTAAGTTTTACTATGAAAAACTGTTTTTAACTCAGGCTAGAAAGATAGCTCAGCTAATTAAGAGCACTTCCTGCTCTTCCACAGGACTGGATGGAGTTCACTTCCAATGCAGGATGGCTCACAACCACCTATCAACTACAGCTCCAGGGGATCCCACGCCTGAGGCTTCCACAGTCACTTGTAGTCATAATGCACATACTCACACACATACACACAGATAATTAAAAATAATAAAAATAAATCTAATGAAACAAACTATTCATATATATATGGCTTATTGGAATTATTTTTCAAGAAATAGTGAAATTTTTTTCAAGAAGGAAATCCTATTGCACAAGAAAATTTCATTTTCAAAAATAAAAGTAACAGCATCTAATATTATTTCATGCTTTCCATGAGCCAGGCACTAGGCTAACCATTTTCATGTATCAGTTAACAGAATTCTTACCCTAATACAGATTATTACCATTTTCAAATGAGGAATCTGAGGTTCAGAAAGGTTAAGTTCTTGGCCCAACATCACACCAAAAAATGTAGGCGAGCCAGGGTTCACTCCTAGTATAATCACAAAGGCCAAACTCTTAAACTACTATTTACACTGCTTCTCTATCTTAATTTGATTAGAAAATAAGTTTTTAAACAATTAGATATTAGGTCTACCTAACCATTCTCCACATCAAGAATTCTTAAATCCCAAATGTACTTCCTTAATGACAGCTACACCTAATAACATAAAAATAATTCACCTCAGTTTTAAGTTATTAATACCATGACCCCAAGAGAAAACTTATATGAACTGCAAAATGAACAAACAAATTGATGCACGAACTCTGTGTTATTAGAAAGTACCTCTAATAATGACCACATATGCAACCAAATTGACTCAGAATAAGGAACTATATAGAAAACAAATAAATCTAAAATATGTTAACCCTGCCTGTAAAATTAGGCCCAAGTAATTAAATCTGGTGCTTCATTAAACTTGTCATAAAAATTCCAAACACACCAAACTGAACTCAGTAAACAATGAAACACTACAGGGTTAAAGCAGGAAGTCGCACATTCCTAAGTCATTTCAATCACTCTAGGGATACCAGGGGAGCTACTACTCAGATGAATGCCTGCAGCCTCCCAGCTTCACCAGAGGCCACCCCTGGGTGACTCCCTGAACTCTTCTTATTAAATCAAGATTAGTTGCTACTTTTGATGGAAGTAGTCAGAAGTTACAATTAATAAGATATTCTCTTCTCTCAAAAGAGTATAAACACTGGGGAAAGAAAATATTTTCAGGAAAAACAAGCAACTATAAAAGCATTTGAAAACTGAAATCCCATCTTCACCTCAAATATATCTTTATTGTTATCCCTCAAATATACCTCACAAAATGAGTTGGTGACCATTTCCACCTAGTTTACAATATCAAATTATAACTATATAAGCTGCAAGTACCATTTCCACAGTTATTTTTATATATTATATGGTAAAGTAAGTGCTTTTAAGTTGCCTGATTCTGATCTCTCTCTCTCTTTTTATTATGATCTCTTAAAAGGACTAAAATTAAAGTTAGTATGCATAAAGAGTCAAGATAGAACATCACAATTTTCAGACTTTGGTTTTTTTATGATTAATAAATTTCACTGGAAATGCAAATGTGTCTAGCAAATTTTTGTTTCCAAATATTCCTTTTAAACCCATCTAGTAGCAAGACCATTTTATGAAAGAAATATTAACTTAAAAAAAAAATAACGGGGCTGGAGAGATGGATCAGCAGTTAAGAGCTGACTGCTCTTGCAGAGGACCCGGGTTCGAGTCCCAGTACCCACATGATGGCTACGAACCGTCCTTAACTCCAGTTCCAGGGGACTCTGACGCCCTCTTCTGACCTCCACGGCATTGTGTGCATGATACGGGTGCACTCACATGCATGCAGGCAATACACTCATACACATAGAATAAAATAACAAAAAATTTAAAAAGTAACAGTAATACAGTAAAGGGCTAATTCTTAATTAAGTAAAGTTTAAAGTTCTGAAGAGAACTTCCTCAGGCCCTTGAGACAAGTATTTAAAAACCAATCATTTAAAGAACACTATACTAAATTCCATTTATGATTTTATTGTTCATTAGCTATGGGAAGGGAGATAAAATTCTGAACTTCAATTTCTCTTCTATGATAGGAGACACACCACCTAGACAATACAGCTACTGTAGGAACCAAAGACAAAAATGCACTAAAGTAGCTTGATAAATATGATGGTCCCAGAAAAAGTCTAGACCACACAACTTACCATCTGCTGACTGGGTAAACAATGCATAATCAGGATTGACTATCTCATTAGATAGAATATCAAACCACTCACGTACAACACCTTGACCCTGCATTCAAGAAAATAAAATTTAGCATCAACAAAAATATACATTTAGACATATTTAAGTAACAAATTTTGAATATTTCATTTATCAAATGAGTATTAAATGTATTTAAGTGTGTTCTGCTCTTTTATGTACAGTGATTTCTGCATTACTTATTTTTATACCCACCATGCCTTCCTCTCCATGGAACCGTACAGCAATCCCCTGCTTTAGTTTTGCACAATTTGCTTTTGACACAATTTCACAGCTACTCCTAAAAATAGAATCTAAATATGTAGCAATGGTTAATTTTAATTATTAAAATTTACAATACCAACTACTTTGTGGCTCATATATCTATCACAGTTTCTTTGTTAGACATACCTCTGTGAATCAGGAGAATATCATTTTCACTCACTGGCCTATGTACCATGTCCGAATCTGGCTGTCCTGAGTGCAAATGTTCATAGAACCATTCACAGCGATCTTTAAATGGCTACCACAAAAAAAAAAAAGACAGTAAAACATGTTAGCAGTATTTCAACAACCTAATTACCAGATTAGAAAAAAAAATTACATTCATTCTTAGATCTTTATTCACAATAAATAATTATAATGTTCTAACCTTTCAATAAACATTCACAAAGAGGCAGATCTTAGCTAATTAATACTTTAGCAACCTAATGCACTTTTTAAAATTCATGCTCTCAACAAGAATTGATGAATTACATACAGAACTTAGTATCAGATACGTAACAACATATTTACCCAGGTCCTCTGCAAGAGCAGCAAATATTCCCTAACCACTGAACCATCTCTCTGGCCCTTCAGAAACTAATCTTTTGGGCTGGAGAGATGGGTCAGCAGTTGAAAGCACATACTGCTCTTGCAGAGGATCTGAGATCAGTTTCTAGCACCCTAATTGGGCAGCTCACAGCCACCTATATCTCCACCTAGAGGGGAATCAACACTCTCTTCTGCCCTCCACAGGTACCTATACTCACATGCCCAGACACACACATATGCACACTTTTAAAAATAAAATTTTATTTTTAAAAATCCAGTATTTTTTGCCTAGTTGATTCTGATTTCTTTCCTCTGGGATTTAGGCAACAGCTAAAGTAACTTTTATTATTCTTCTGTCTTCTCTTTCCTCACTTTAAAAATTGATAGCTGTTAGGAGAGGAAGAGTCAGTTTTCTTTAAGAGTATGATACTGGGTAGACTGACCAGGCTCAAGGTGATAGACTCATATCCAAGAGCATTAAAAATAAAAAGAAGAAAAATGAGGAGGAACCCAATAGAGGGATGCTTTTGAAAGCTCTCGTGAAAAAATTCCAACAGACTCTCATATGAACATTTAAAATTCGCCCTGTTCTGACTTTTTTCTAGTTCCCTGTCTAGAACTTGTAATGTTAACTATGCTTGCCTTTACTTCTCTTTCACATCTCCTATTCACCAGTCAAGGATTTTCTTTTCCCCCTACAGGTAAGAGTTATGCAATTTGAGAGTCAGATAGATCCACTGAAGGGGTACCCCAACTGCCTCACCCTGCATCCTTGTTCAGCATAAAGAAGCCAGAGCGGTCTGCATCCCGATTCCCTATTCATAAGCTGGGTAACCTCTTCAGAGGATGGTGTGATAGGAACAGGAGGTAGGGATTGGCTAGGCAGTTAGTGTGGGAAAAAAAAAAACAAAGAAAAGTAGCTAGCTTCTTGGCTAAAAGTCAAAATGTACTTGGGCCTCTTAGCAACATACTCCATTCCAAAGGCCAAAAATGTCGTAGGTACTTGGGAGTTCTTATCTAATCCTTAAAAGATTTTAGGGCTAGGGGCTAGAGAAATGGCTCAGCGGTTAAGAGTACTGACTGCTCTTGCAGGGGACCTGGGTTCGATTCCCAGCACCTACATGGTGGTACAAACTGTCCTTAACTCCAGTTCCAGGGGAACCTGACACCCTCTTCTGACCTCCGCGGCATTACCCAACACGGGTACACTCATATACATACAGGCACTACACTCATATACATAAAATAAAAATAATAAAATATTTTAAAAAAAGATTTTAGGTTTTAGGGCTACCTCTTCAGAGGTGGGGAATGTTAGAGTAGCAAAAAGCCCTATTGAAAAAAAAAAAAGAAGCAGAAAAGAAGAAAGAGTACATGAAGTTATCAGAAAAAAGTGATGGGGAGATAGTAAGGTAGAAGAAGAGAAGGGAAAGGGGGGTCTGAATATGATCAATACACTGTATAGAATTCTAAAAGAATCAATAAAAATATCTTTTCATATGAAAACAGGAACTCTTGAAAAGTGAAGCAAAGCTTTTCATTTTATTCATCTGCCTGGGAAAGCAAATCCAGGTGATCTGTAATTTTTATAATTAATCAGAAATTATTACTGAGGACCATATGGTAATATTGCAGGTAACATAAGAGTAGTGAACCTTTGTTAATTTCCTGGCTATAAACTGTTCTGTACTGTTAAAAAGATGAAAGTAACCCAGAGTAATACAATATGAACATAATACAAACACGTTCTCCACAGTGACATGCAAATTCAGCAAAGACTTAGAAACTGCAGAAGGGGAGGACAAAGACTTCGCAGCATCACCGTCTGAACCAGGACTTAGAGCTTGGTAAAATGTACTCAGGAGGGAGGAAAAGAAGCATATCGGTTTAAGAGAGACAGAGAAAAACACAGAGGGTGAAACTGTCTCCTTGGAAGATGCAGTGAAGGCACTGGTGTAACTGGAGCTCTATCTCTACACATGTTGAAGGAAACATGTTTTCAAAAGTAAACTGAGCATTTAATTAAGGGTACTGAAAACCAAGTAAAAGACACAAAGACTGAGGAGGCAAGCACAGCAGACAGTTTAGTACCCTGGGATCCTATCTTGTTTTGGTTATGCACAGTCCCATCTCCCAAAACTGCGCTCAGCAGCCTAGTTCCTTTACTGCACATACTGTATGCACACATGCCTCTCTCCAATGCATCTAGCAAGTTCAGAACCTCCTTAAAACCCCATCTGTATCAGGCTACCTCTGCTCTCACCTTTGAACAGTAACAATCAAATTTAGACAGTTCCTATTCAAGTGCATTCCCAATGTGTCCAGGTACAAGTTGTATTTCCAAGGTATCCTTGGATGAACAGAAGGGCCAATCCAGCCTGAACTGGTTTTTGATGCATGAGTAGTAAGGCAAAACTATGTCCTAAAGTAAACTTTAAAAAGAATTCCCTGCCAGGTGTGGTGGCACACAACTGTAGTCCCAGCACTCAAGAGGCAGAAGCAGGCGGATCTCTGTGAATTCAAGGCCAGCCTGGTCTACACAGTGAGTTCCAGGACAGCTGGGGCTACAGGGAGACCCTGTCTCAAAACAGACCAAAAAAAACAAAAGATTTCCCTACATACTATTTCATGCCTATGTGCAATTGAGCATGGAAATGACTAAAATCTGATGCCTTATGGGAAGAGACATGCACATTAGGAAACATTATATGATCTAACCTATTAATCAAAATAGAGAAATGCCCATGCCATACCCCTTAGCAACCAAACTCCTCCTTCTCTTGAACCCCATAAAAGAACCAAACAAGAAATGGAATCATCAGTACTCTCACACACATGGCCCACTGTCAAATTCTTTATAATCTGTACTATGACTTTGAATCAAGTGTTGTTTCTACTTTTGTCAATCTGTGTGGTCCCTTGTTTTCAATTCTTTGGATAAGAGACCAAGACTGGCCCAGACCACGAAAATGATGGACATTTGGTCAGAAAAAAAAAAAGCGTGTGAATGTGGTCACCAAAGTGAGTACAGCGCTAGTATAAAGGAAGTTCGTGCAGGAAGTCGATGCAGTGACAAGGATTGGATGGTGAGGGCCTGGTTGTAGCAGAAAAGAGGAATAACGAAGTAGATGTGAAAGATATTACTCCTCTCAATAAAGGTAAAAATACAGAAAAATCTCTAGAGATAGAATTTATTAACTGAAATAAATGCTCAGTTAACTTCAACTTAGTGTCATACTCTTAGATGGTACTGGTGGAAAGACAATAAATAAGATCGTATGTATCCTGAATTTAAAATTATTGTGGGATATAATTATTAGGGGCTTGGAAATAAATTTTTAACTGTGGTATAATAGACCAACCATGAACAAAACTGCAAATGGAAAGAGATAAGGTTCTTACTCAAGAGAACATTGATGACCACAGATTAAGACTGAGAATCTGCTTGGAAGTGATTCACACAACCAGAAATGTCAAGAGAGCCAAGGTGATGTACTAGCACAAAAACTGAAGGTCTCAAGAAGAAAACATGATCAATACCATCCACACCACAAAGAAGGCATCTTTCCAGCAAGTTTCACCACTAAATCTCTTCATTTGAGCTAAACTAAATATTGGGTTTTGAGCGAAACTGACAGTTCTTTTGCTAAGTATTAATCTGAATAATTCACACTGATACATATTATTATATGAACTACTGTGTTTATGTACTATTGTTAGTAAACTGTAGACTGTGGAATATACTTGAAACTCTTTTTCATATTTTTTTGTTTTTTTCTCTTCTAAGACAAAGTCTCACTATATAACTCAAGCTGGCCTCGACCTCACAATTTTTCTAAAAAGTCCCTGGGGTACTAGAATTACGAATGCACCACCCACCCCCAGTTCAATGTGCTTGAAATTTTAAAGCTGATTATTTCTAAAACTTTGGTGAAAGAGGAGGTAATAAAAAATTACATTGAAGCAACATATTTAAATATGAGGAGTGAAGTCAGATAAACATGCATTGAAATCCAGGTTCTCTAACTTACAGTTTCTGATCTTTAGGAAATTACTGTAAGTCTCACAATTTTAGTTTTGTCACCTGTTAAACATAGGGAATAATACCTACTTCAAGGTCTAATTTTGAGGAATAAATGAAATCATTCAAATATAGAACACAATCATCATAAATTAGTTTTACTTTCTAAGCACATCTATCCTCACCTCACTATGAGAAAGAGACTCAGTCCCACTTTAAAGTAGACAAAAGTGCAGCACTAAAAAGTTTAGTAACTCCTACAACTACTCAGCATCCACAAGGCTCTATAAATGGGTGATATCCTATTACCATTCACAGTAATGTTAAAGAACTACTGTCAATGACATTTATTTTTATTTATTTATTTAGGGACTCCCTATAGCCCCAGTTGGCCTGGAATCTGTTATGCTTTGATCTCACCTGCCTCTGCCTCCCAAATACTGGGATTAAAGGCATAAGCCATTGTGCCTGCAATTAACTATTTTAAATGGCACTAAATTTACTAGCCATTATAAGATATTAACTATTTCTTTTACCTTTGAAATACAAACAAGAAATTGCTGGGCATGGTGGCACATGCCTTTAATCCCAGCACTCTGGAGGCAGAGACAGGCAGATCTCTGAGAGTTCAAGGCCAGCCTGGTCTACATAGTGAGTTCTAGGCAAGCTGGGGCTAGAGGGAAAAGACCTTTTTTAAAAAAAAAAAAAAAAAAAAAAAAAAAAAGAAATAAATAAAAACATTTTAAAAAGTAATTCATATACAACATTAAGAGGTACAATGTGCTACCTTCAAAATCTAATAAAAGCTGGATGTGGTGGTGCACGCCTATAAATCCAGCACTCTGGGGAGATAGAGACAGGAGGATCACCACAAATTCAAGGTCAGTCTGGCCTTTCATTAGAAAATTCAAGACCAGCCAGAGAGGCTAGTCTCCAAATCAATCAAGCAAGCAAGCAAGAAAGCAAGCAAGCAAGCTAATGAAGAGATCTGTAAGAACATACACATCAGCTAAGCAAAGTACACACTTCATATGTAGACTTTCTGAGTAATTGCATTTCCATATATAACTCATAAAGCAGGGGCTGGTTTCAAAAGCTCTCCTTAATAGCATTTGTACAGAAATACAAATGTCTCTCCTTTAAACCACTGGCCTGGAATCCACCATTTCTCCAGTAAACGCCAGCTCACTGAGAATCTATTTACTAGAGATTAAGGGTACCAGGTTTCCTACACCTACAACCGAAGAACGAAAGCTATAAATTCATGCTGACATCTAGTTCTGACACAACGGCAGAGTTTGCTCTCATTTCCTCCACTTTGTGGCTTCTTCCTCTAGCAGGAATCAGGCTCTTGTACTGAGCTGACCAACCCTCCCCTCTCCTCAACCTCCTAATACACCTATCTCCTGCAACAGACATTTCTTGAAAAAGAAAATTCATTCTTCATACTAAACGAGCATGGAATTCCATCTCTCTCACAGAAGGTTTTAAATAAAATTGCTATACTAAATAAATCTTAAAAATTAATTTCACTACATTAAGTACCTGTGCTTTAATGATATGCATGAATCTTGACATCAACTCAGGACATTCCAGGAGAAAGTGAAAGTGGTCAAATATAATTTTTGGATTCCTAAAAAAAAATATGAACAAGAACATCATTAAATGAAATGCAAAATCAAATCTATTTCAGTATTGTGATACCAAAATAGAAGGAAAAAACACAGCAATCTCTAATGCTACACTTGTGTTACTGACCACATTTTCAATAACAGAATTAACATTTTTTTCTGTTTGCATGAAAATGTAAATAAAGAGACAAAAGGCTGGGAGGCTGGAGAGATGGCTCAGCAGTTAAGAACACTGGTTGTTCCGGCAGGAGACCCGGGCTTGAATCCCAGCACCCACATGGCAGCTAACAACTGTCCATAACTCCAGACCCAGGGGATCCAACAGCCACTTCTGACCTCCATGGGCATTGCATGACATGGGTGCACTTACCTACACGCAGGCAATACACAAATACATATAAAATAAAAATAATAATAAAATATTTTTGAGAGAGAGAGAGAGAGAGAGAGAGAGAGGAGAGGCTGCCAGAGCAATCTAATAGTCCCAGAAATCCTTACCTAGTCACAAAACATTTTAAAACTTCGTCATGTTTGCAGACAAATTCAATGAAACGAGGTGAAGTCATTCTGGGTAGAGAAGGGGAAAAACAATGAGAACACACAAGTCAAGTTGCTAATATAATACACCAAACAGAATACATACATAATGAGCAGAGCTGACTTCTAGACCAAAAGAAATAACTTAGATTTACATCTTTATAAACTAAGATATGCCTAGTCAATTTGTAAAGTGAAAGAATATATGTAACTTATCATTAACAGAAAATAAAAACGTGACTTCTAAAAGTCTTAAAATCTCTTTACAAACTATTATTTACCACTTCACATGAAAATAAATGTGTATCATTTGCACAAAATTTTAATATTTTTACTAGGACTGTATTTTTACTAGTGCAATGGCTATCATAAAACAAGATGAGAACAGAACCTAAAAAAAAAGTTACTATTTGTTATTACTGAAATTACAAAAACATCACAGGCTGTCATCTATCAAAGAAAAAAATACAGTAAATCAAAACTTTCTTACCCTGGAGGCATCTGACAAGAACAGCACATGTAAAAAGCTTGAATGACAGCACTTAGCCGGTTTGCTGTCATAGAAATAACATCCTGACAATCTGTATTGGCTTCCTGTTTCCCTGCAAGGGCATCTGGTTTCGATTCCCCTGTACCAGTGGATAGGTTTTCATAGCTCCCAGGTCTTGAAGGTTCAAATGGTGAAATGGAAGTGGCACCTTGATCTTGGCCTTTTTGTCTCAGTAAAATAGAAGTGATGTCTGTTGAGTCCTTTTTGTTTTTCATCAGTTCTGTGGCTATTAAAACTAGCCATTCATCTAATGAGTGCCAAAGCAATTCCAAAGGCTAAAAGGAAAGAAATATGCTTTTAAATCATTCTTAAACTAGATTTTTTTAATGAACCAAAAAAAAACAAGCAGCTAAATGACTACTATAACAAATTTACTCTAGATATTTCATCTTCCAAAGTCAGTAAGACAGTCATGCTTAAAGGCAATAAAAATATACAAACAGAAAATAAATTACAATTTCCTTTGTTTACAGAAATACTTAACTTAGATGTATGTATTCCTTAGAATAAAAGGAAGAAAACCAAATCTAACAAAACATTATATGCATCTTTCACATTTTCAAGTAAATATTTATAAACTGTTGTTTACTGCTTTCATAACCCCCCAATATTTACTTTGTCATCATGATGTCAATAAGTTTCGTAGTACTACACAAGGATTTTTTTATTAAAAAAAAATTCCTAAAAAACATATAAACTGTTTAGTTCACAATGCTACTTCTTTAAATGTAGTCCTAGATTTTTCTAATTTATGACATGAAATTATAAAATGGGGGCATATTGTATTTATATATACAATATATTCTTACATATCAATTCATCTCTAATATTTAGTCATTTTAAGACAAAAAAATGTAATGACTTAACTTCTATAAAAATACAGACTAACAGGCCAGCAATATGGCTGAGTGGATTAAGGCACCTGCCACCAAACCTGACAAACTGAGTTCTATCAACCAGGACATATATACAGTAGAAGGAAAGAAATGATTCTGCAGATTGTCCTCTGACCTCCATGCACAAACATACAAACACACAAAATAAGTAAAAATGTAAAAAAATAAAATAAAAATGTATGTCTTAATTTAAAAAAAAACAACACATATTAACAAATTGTTGGTTTTTTTTTTTCCTCTTCCCCAGTGATGGGAATCAAATCCAGGACCTCAGACATGATAAGCATGCACTCTACCACTTGGCTGCCCCTCTAGCTAGCCTTCAGAAAGCTCTTCTGGTTTTTTGTTTGTTGTTTGTTTTGTTTTTTTGGTGTGAGACAGAATCTCATGATCCCAGGATGACTTTAAACTAGTTACACAGCAAGGTGGCCTAAACTCCTGATCTTCCAGCACCTCTTTCTCAAGTGCTGGAATTACAGGCATATACCAACACAGCCACAAATGTAAAGATTAACAGTTTTAAAATAATAGGAGTGGGGATAAATTGAATCTTACTCCTCTACTATTCTAAATAGTCCTACTGAACTTAGTGAAATGTCTTCTTTAACAGCATATTACACTTTATTTTTCAAATGATGTTATCACAAATCCTCAAGAGAACAAAATACCGCAGATAAAATACAAAACCTATAATAATCAGTTTTTAAAGCACAGAAAAATATACATGCCCAACTACTACTCCAGCAGAAAGGGAGAAGTTAAACAGTCCTTCATTGTATACAGTGCTTTAAATATTCCTATTAAAATTAGCTGCTGGTGTCAGTTCAGGGAAGAGAAATCCTCATTCACTGATGGTGGGATTGCAACCTGCTGCAACCACTGTCGAAATCAGTATGGAAAACTCTTAAAAAATACATCTACCATATGATCTGACCATGCCACTCTTTGACATACACTTAACGGACTCATCCTACTACAAAGATATTTGCAGTTAGGTTTTTGTTGCACTTCTCACAACAGCTAAAAAATGAAACAAATGTCCCTCAACTATGGAAATGTGGTGCATTTACACAACAGAGTTCTACTCGGCCATAAAGAAAAATGAAATCATAAAATTTACAGGTAAATAAATTGAACTAGAAACTGTTATACTAAATAAAGTAACACAGACTCAGAAAGACAAAGGACATGCGTTCTCTCTCATTTGTGGATCTTGGCTCCAAATCCCTAGATGGAAGAGACAGGAAAATGGAAAGGAACCACACCACGGGGATGAAGGGGAATGAGAAGCTCAAGACAAGGGGATAGTAGGAGACAGGTGTTATTAAGGGGGAAATGAGGAAAAGAGGGGTTACTTAAATGGGTATGAATTAGGGAGGGTTATACAGTGCAGGGGGAGAGGAGAGATAAATAATGCTTAGATGATATAACAAAACAGAGGGAAATGTATTAGTTCAAAAAGTCTACTGACAAATACACATACAATATAATATATATACCAGTTTTGTGTATAGCTGAAGGCTATATGACAAAAAACACTGTCAGACAGGAGAAACCACCATTTGAGTTGATCAGGGTAGTCCAAGAGACTCCCAAAATAACAAGACTATTGCCATAGCCCTTCATTGTCTCCCAGAACTTGAAATTAAGACTCTACTGCTAAAGACAGGCTACATCACTTCAGACATAGAACTTGAGCAATCGAGCTAGACCTGACCAGGAAGCCTCCTCCCTGAAGACTAGCTCTCACGATATCGGAGAACACTATACAAGTTGCCAAGGGAGAAAACCAATCAATGGTCCTACACAGCTATAAAGCCTAAAAACAATGACTGGCCCAGCAAGCTATCACTATTGGTGCAGTAGTGGTACTTTTATCTTGGGGGTAATTAACAGCTATGTAATTGGAATTAAGGCCTGTTCATTGGGAGGGAGCTTATGTGTGGTACTGTAAACATAGCCAAATATACATGGCTAGAGTAGGCCATAGAAAAGCCTACTTTGGCCACATTCTTAGACCAACGTAATTTCTTAGTGTATTCTAAGTATGCATCCTCTATTTACAGAGAGTATACCTTTCACCCACCATAAAAGAAGCTTCTTTTTGCAACAGATGGAGAATATTAAAGAACTCTAGAACTGGGGCTGGAGAGATGGTTCAGCTTGTTTAAGAACACTTGCTGTTCTTCCAGAGGACTGTAGTTTGATTCCCAGCACCCACAGGCAGCTAACAACCATCTGTAACTCCAGTTCTAAGGGATCCAATGCCCTCTTCTGGCCTCTGTGGGCATTGCATGCACATGGTGCACTTATATACATGCAGGCAAAACACTTACACACTCATAAATAAAATATTTAAAAAAAAAAAAAAAGAGCTCCAGATACTGAGTGTGGTGATGCACATCTTTAATTTCAGCACTCAGGGGGCAGAGGTACATGAACCACTGAGTTCAAGGCCAGCCTGGTCGGTCAGCTGGGGCTAGAGGAAGATCCTGTCTTACCACTATTGGTCAAATGCAAAGAATTAGATGTCTGTGAGACACTTGACCCTAAATGACAAATCTTCAATGCAGTCTCTACACATAGGATAAATGTATCTCTCAACTCTCACCACAGAAGTTTCCTTATGCAACAGATGGTGATTAATATAGAAACCCACAAATGGCCAATGTTCAGAGAATAAGAGGTCACAGATGGCTTATCTCTGAATAGGACATCTATTTCAAATCTCTGCCTCCCAAAGCTCAGGAATCATTGCAGAAGAGGTTCTAAGAGCCATAGGGGGTGAATGACCACAAAGAAACAGTCTTTCAGACAACTGGTCATTTATTCATATGAACTCACAGCCATGGTGACAGCATGCATAAGTCCTAAGAAAGTTCAAATCAGACAAAAATCCCAGCATAGACATGGAGAAGTGAATAATAAACCCCACCCAACCTAAGGAACTTTTGGCAATTGATGGCTGCTGGGAGTCTTACAGGGACGGGACTCTTGGGGGGCCCAGTTGATGGACCCACACTGAAGGACATTTGGGAATCTGACTCTATAGGCCAGGTTCTATATATGAGAGCACATTAAATTGGGTGGGGGACAGAAGGAGAAGGTATGGATAGGGGAAGAAGGGAGGGGATCTAAATACCATCAAAACATATTGTATAAAAATTGCAAAAATTCAATTAAAAACTATTTTTTTAAGTTTCCATTTAGGGGGAGGGGGAGGGAAGTTTACACAAGGAACTAGGGGATAAAGGGAAAGAAGGAGCTCAAGCGAGGTAGGACAATAGGAGAAGGGTATTATTAAGGGAGAAATGGGAAAACTGGGGGCACCTTAAATGGGGAAACTGTAGTGGAAGGGTTAGACAACATGAGAGATAAACAATGCCTAGCTAGCTTTGAAAACCAGAGGGAACCATATTAGGCCAACAACCTAGTGACAAATTATACATTCAGCTAGATCAAAACATGTAATATATGTCTAGGCAAGGTTTATATGAGAGCATTTGGTTTTTGCCCAAGCTCCATCTACATGGCATATGGTAATTAAAAGTACCAGACTGGTGGAACTAACCTTCTTGGATGTTTAACAGCCATACGATGAGGCCTATACTAATTTGGTCAGAGGGACATAAAGGACAGCTTTTGCTCCTTGCCCTCCTAGGTCGACTAGTTCCAGGGGCCTATGAGCATCTCTCAAAATGTCCTGTAATTGTGGTGGGCCACTTGTCCTCTTGATCAAGAAGGCTGAGGAGACCCCACCAGATGGACTTGAACCAGTGTCCAGTCTACAAAGAACTTATCTTCACATAGACAGAACCGGTAAAAGAAAGGAGCCAGGGGCTCCTCCCAAGCCCACGTGATCCCTGAGGAACAGATCCTCAAACAACCTTAAGAGTAAAAATAAATTGGTTTATCTGGGCCAACTGTAGGGTCTTACCCAAAAGGAAAGTATAATCAAAGATTAATGGGGTCAATATAATTCCTCAAGAGTCCACGTATATAGCTAAAGGCTACATAACAAGCAACAATGCCAGACAGGAAATACCTTCCTTTCAGTTATTGGCCAGAGTGGCCCAAGGGACTCCCAGATAGTAACCCAGCAGAGAATTGGGAAAATGAACAGCAGACCCCAATCTTATCTACAGGAATATTGAGAACCGGTTGCTGCTAGATGAGGAACAGCTGATCTTCCTAGAGCAAGGATCTCTAGACAGGTTGACTAGATTCAGCAGACAGACAAGCACTGGGGAATGGCTGGGGGTGCCGACAACACAGTGGACAGTAACTGGGATGACAGAGTATATGGGATACAGTGTGTGGGAGGGGGAAAGCTATGGGAGGGTGCCATTTGGGAAGTGGGTATATAGATGAATAAGATT